CCCCAAAACCCCAAAACCCCAAAACCCCAAAACCCCGACTATTGTAGAAGATATTGAAACTATAGAATCTTCATTATTCTTTGTTCTGATAAACTGTTTACTCTACTTTCAGGTAAAAGCGAGTTTTTGTAACTTCTAATTCTCTTGAGTCCTTTCTTTTGATGAGTTAACTTTGATTTCATGTAAAGTGTTTGAAATGCTAAAGTATGAGCATTCGACTTCTCAAGTATAAAGCTTATCGATGTGTCAAATTACCTCTTTGCATTGAAGTGCCAAAACTTTTCCGTCCTAAGGAACCTGTGGTATTGCTTTCTATACATTTAATCCCTGCATACTGCGATTGGCGTGATCGTTTTCCCACCCGAGAACATTGTATACAGAAGTAGTATTTCTGAGTCTATTAAGGAACCAGTGGTTTTCCCTAGTAATTCTCTTGAGGTTACTATAAACTCCTGCTTCAAGCTTACCTAAGTCTTTTATTTTCCTTTAAGTGAGCTTTGCAGAGGAATGCTGTTTTGAGCAATGCTGTTTACTGAGAACTCCATCGGCCTTTTGTCGATCTTTACTAGCTGGTGGAGCAGCCTCTTATTCTCTCTAAGCACTCCATTGAAGAACTTCTTGTTTCTTTGCAGTTTTACTAGAGAGGTCACATGAAATATTACCTTTATTACGGTTTACTTTATATCTTTTATACCTCATTTCTTGTGTTGTTGTAAACTTGTTGTCTATATTAGAACTGTCTGCGTAAGGAAGATCAATAGGGTTCTGCTTCGAGTTATTAAGACTTTCAAGTTCAATTCTTGAGATTCTTTTTAAGCTATGGCTGTTTGTCTTTGTCTTTATGTTTAGACTAATCTTATGCTCTAAACAAGAGATTATAGTTCAACCTTGAAACGACAGGGAGTTTTATGTACACGAATTGCTTACTTGAGCTGCTCTTGCCTTTTTTCATGATCTGTGTAGGTACTGGATTGTAGTAGTTTGTTTCTAATAGCATTTTATTAAATAAAATATTTGAAAAACTTGGGGTTTTGGGGTTTTGGGGTTTTGGGGTTTTGGGG